GGCTGTCCTGGGGGAGGGGCCCCTGGGTGGAAGAAGCCAGACTGCTCAGGGCCTCATGGGACCCAGAAGTGACAAACCTCCAACCCCCTGGTCCCACCCGGGGCTTCTCTTCACCCCCACCTGCTGCCGCCCCATTTTCCCCCATCCTCGCTCAGGGCCACTCTTCCCCCACAATCCCATTTCCCTTCCCCCACCATGGGGCTCTGCCCTGCTGTTGGCCAAGCAGAGACTTGTCCCTGGCTGCCTGGGGCTGGGGAGGGAGCCCAGCCTGGGTCAGCCCTCTGAGGCAGGCGGTTCACATGGTCTCTCTGCTCTAGGGAGCAGCCGTGCCAGCACCATGGCCTTTCCACAGGAGCTGAGTCGCTCACAGGTGTGCGGGATGATGCGGGAAGAGCTGTGCCAGGACCAGGACTTCTTGCGGTCTGACACCCACATCTTCATCATCCTCGGGGCCTCGGTGAGTCCCCAGTCAGCCAGGCCATGCCCCATGTGGGGTGCCTGAGCTGGGCCGTTCCTCTTGCACCCTGCTTTGTGGACAGGCAATGCTGTGGGGGAACAGGGAGTTCCCTGCAGGACCCTACACTTGGTGAGGGGATGGCTAAACTAATCTTCCCCACAGCTCTGCTCAGCTGCCAGATTCCCCTGAGCTCCTGCCTCCCGTGGGCTCTGCGGCTCATGCCTCCAGGGCGAGGCAGGAGTTGTACCAGGGGCGATACTGAGCACTGGGAGCTGCAGCCGAGCCATCCCAGCTACCATGACTGGGCAGAGTGACTTAACTTCCTGCCTGGTGTTGTGTAACCTGGGCGGGCAGCACTTGCCTCCAGTGGGGGCGGGGGGCCACTAATCCCTGATGGGTTGAGCTATGTGCCCTGTCATGGGGCCACCCAAGGCCTGGGATGGTGCTGGTGCTTGCCATGGGATGGAGTGAGGTCAAGCCCTGGCTTGGCCAACCCTTCGTTTATATTCCGTGAGCAGTAGTGAGATTTCAGCAAGCAGAGGTGTGTGATTGACACCGTCTTGTTGCTCCCAAATCCACCCACTACTCTGAATTTGCCCTGACACCCCAGAAGCCTCCCAAACTGCCTCTCACCATAGTCATCCCTTAGGCCCTGGAAACCACCCCGGTGCCCCTCAAACTCACAGAAACTGCCTCAGTTCCCTCCCCAGAACTTCAGCATAACCCTTTTCTACCCTGCTTCCGGTTGCCTGCCTGCTCTGAGGGGTCACAACATGTCCCTCCCGTTGTGGGATCTGTTGCATTTGCACAAAGGGAAGTGCTGGGCACTGCTGAGCAGCTGTGCCCATGGGGAACCACAAGATAAGCAACGTGGGGGTGGTCAGAGGAGACCACGGCTGCTGGAGCCACTCCCATGCTGGGGGTGGCTGGGCAGTGTCCTTGTGGTGGGGGTGGCATGTGGAAGCCCCCTGCTCACCCTAGCTCCCTGTAGCTGAGGAGAGTAATACACACAAACACACCTTTGCTAGCTTCGCTCACCCACCCTGAGACATCTACTTCAATGTGCTTGTGTCTCAGGCCAAAGACTCCCCCACTTGGCCCCGGGTTCCCCAGGCAGGCGGCCAGCAGAGTAGGCAGCAAGAGGCAGAGAAGCCCTGATTTTGCTTGAGTTGCTGCCGCTGTCTGCACGCCCCACAGGTGCATTACTGCTGGTCTCAATTTCTGGGGCTTTGGTTCCCACTCTCTCCACCTTTCTCCACAGCACAGGAACCCATCTCCCCTTGACATGCTGGTCTGATGCAGCCTTCTGAGGCTTTCTGTGCATTTTCCTCCAGCCTGGGAGTAACTTTTCTGGCTCCTTTCTCCTCTCCATCCTTTCCACTTTTCTCCCAGCCTTTATGAAAGGCAGCTACCCAAGTTGGGTGCAATTCCCCATCTCTCATGATGTTTGGTTGGGTGGCACAGCTCCCTCCCTGTTCTGCTCCTGGCTGCCCTGGTGATACACCCCACAAGCCTCTTTGGCCCCATCCCAGGTCTAGGATGCCACTAAGTCCCCTAGAGCCTTCTTAGAGTCCCCGGCTCTCTGGAGCACAGCCCCAGGCAGTTGGTGTTCCTTGCTCCTAGCAGTCCCCCACACATCTCCTGGCAGGGCCAGACACCCCAGGCACTCCCCCAACCCTGCCTGCAACAGAGCAGGAGAGTGGGGAAACTGAGGCACAGCGATTCAGTGGCTAGGCTCAGGTCACACAGGGCGACTGACCCCAGAAGCCAGCTCCCTGTTTAAATATAGGGGTTGTCCCAGCTCCACGTGACTTGGGTTCACCTCAAGTTGGCAGAGCTGAGGCAGAGAATCCTGGGTAGGCACTGGGCCCTGTGAGCTGTGATGGGAGCTGCTGCGGTCTCTCTGCAGGCCTGTCAGGGACAGCACAGGCTGGATGCCTGGCACCTGCTCCCCCTCCCCCAGCAGAGGGAGGGAGGAAGGAGAAAGCCGCTTATCAGCGTTTGTGATAGATAAGGAGCTTCCTGGGCTTAGGCAGAAGGCCAGTGGCCTGGACCTGGCTGTGGGAGGCAGGGCAAAGAGCTGAGGAGAAGATGGCGTATCCCTTTGGGCCAGGGAGTGGCAAACACAAATGTCCCTGTATCTGTGGGCATGGCTCATTTTCCCTGCTCAGCCATTCCCTGGCCTGCAGCAGACTGTGTGGTGTGTCCCCAGGCTGGTATGGGCTTGTTGGGCAGTTCCCCCCCCTTACCATGCAGCGTGGGGCTGGCACATCCCTGTAGTGTGTGTCGTATCCCTGGGCTGGTTTGAGCTCGCTGGGGATTCCCCCCCCCTTGCTGTGAGGGGGTGGCGGTATCCCTGGTGTATCCCTTGGCCTGCTTCTTGCACTAGGACCCGCCTTGCTGTGGGAGCTGAGCCTCTGTGACTCAGCAAATCCCTAAGGCTTGCAAAATGATCAGCTGATCTGTACACACACCCTGGCAGAGCAAACTGCATGTGTGCCCAGGCTGAGGGGTGGCATGTGGAGTCTGGCACAGGACCTGCAAGTGCACCTGCCAGTCCCTGGCTTAGCTGCTCCCCCACAAAGGCCCAGCACTGCAGAGCAAAGACATAGGAGGGCAGGGAATAGACATGGGGGGGGAGAGACTTTATCCTGGGTGGGGAATGGGACCCAGGGCCTGCCCCTTGCTGGGGGCTGGCTCCCATCTGGCCCCAGAGCAGTGACGGTCTGGCTCAGGAGGGTGGGGAATGGGGCCTGTTGCCCATCCCACCCCAGGGCAAGTAATGGGGCCCAGGGGCTGCCCCTCTTGTCTGTTTGCTGCTGTGATGTGCCCTTTGTCTGTTCCAGGGCGACTTGGCCAAGAAGAAGATCTACCCAACCATCTGGTAGGTCCCTGCCAGACCGGGCTGTGGGGAACTCGGGGCCCTGACCTCAGCTCACCCAGCCAAATTCTCTTTCAGGTGGCTGTTCCGGGATGGGCTGCTCCCCGATGACACCTATGTGGTGGGCTACGCCCGGTCCCAGCTCACCGTGGAGGACATCCGCAGGCAAAGCCAGCCCTACTTCAAGGTGTCCCTTCGGCCCACCCAGTGCCCCTCTCTGAGCGGGGGAGGAACCGGGGCCCTGGGCCAGAGTTCCTTGGGCCTTGAGTACCTGTCTGGGCGGGGGGAGGATCTGTGGCTGGGTGACTTCCCTCCCCCACACCTCAGATGACTGGGGTAGCATGTCCTCCCTTCCCCCACACACGCACCTTGGCTGACTTAGGGATGTTAAATATCAGTTAATTGAACAGTCAAATAACCTCATGAATTCTGATCATTAGTCGACTAGTCTAGTCCCTGGGAACGGGGCCAGCAGCCTGTGCACTCCTGCCTCGCTCCCAAGAAGACCCCTGCCAGGTGGGAACTGGTCCGTGAGGGGAGCCAGTGTAAGAACCAGCTCCCCTCACGGACTGGATGTCTGATGCCCTGTGCCATTGCCTCTGATAAAGAGGCAGCAGCCCCTTTCTAGGGAATGATCCGAGCTCCCAGACCCAGCACAAACTGGAACTGAGCTGGGCTGCCTTCCCGCCTGGCTCCTAATACACTTTAAATGCAGAGCTGCAGTAAGAGTAGGTCCCGGATCCAGCACAAGCCAGCATCAGCTAAAAAACGTACTGGCAAGTGTGTGGGGGAGGAATGTGTGTGGTCTATAGCATTAACCTATAAGCTTTTGCTTATTTCTTCTCTCACTGAGAGGGGTTATGCCACATCTGGGCTGACAGGGGGGTGGCGCATCCCCATTCTTTCTCCCCACGTCTTGACTGACCGGGGGTGGCATGTCCCCACCACTGACCCAGGAGGCCAAATCCCGGGGGGTGTCCCCTCCCCCATGCCTGGGCTGACAGCATGTCCCCTTGGGCAGGTGGAGCCGGATGAACAGGCCAAGCTGCAGGAGTTCTTTTCCCGGAACAGCTATGTGTCGGGGACATACGACAGCAGCACCTCCTTCCAGCAACTGAACACCCACCTGGCCGGGCTGCACAACGGGGAGAAGGCCAACCGGCTCTTCTACCTGGCACTGCCCCCCAGTGTGTACGAGGATGTCACCCTCAACATTCGGGAGTGCTGCATGGGCTGCGGGTGAGAGCACCTAGTCCCCAGGGGTGGGGTGGGGGGTCCCCTCTAGCTGCAGCCACCTTTGACACCCCCTGCCTCTCCCGCCAGGGGCTGGAATCGCATCATTGTGGAGAAGCCATTTGGGAAGGATCTAGAGAGCTCCAACAAACTGTCCAATCACATCGCTTCACTCTTCCGGGAGGACCAGATCTACCGCATTGACCACTACCTGGGCAAGGAGATGGTGCAGAACCTCATGGTGCTAAGGTGGGGCTCCAGGGCTGCCTGTTGGGGGGAGATCCCACCAGCGCGGTAATGCCCACCTCAGCCACACGCTGTCTCCCCGGCAGGTTCGGGAACCGCATCTTCGGCCCCGTGTGGAACCGGGACAACGTGGCCTGCGTCGTGCTGACCTTCAAGGAGCCCTTCGGCACAGAGGGGCGGGGTGGCTACTTCAACGAGTTTGGGATCATCCGGTGAGCAGGGCGGGCTGGGGAGAGGAATGGGATTCTCGGCCCTGGTGTGTAGCTGAATGACTTCCCCCCCCCATCTGAAGTGAAGGTGCTGAAGTGCATCTCCCAGCTACAGCTGGACAGTGTGGTGATAGGCGAACATGTCCACTAGTTCCTGGGCAGTGGGGGTGGATGGAGCTGTGCTGGGGCTGGGAGCCCTATGCTCACCCCTCTCCCCTCCTGGCAGTGATGTGATGCAGAACCACCTACTGCAGATGCTGTGCCTGGTTGCCATGGAGAAACCAGCCTCCACCCACTCGGACGACGTGCGGGATGAGAAGGTGGGTTACAGCGTGAAGACCAAGCACTGCAGGACCCTGCTCCAGGTGCAGGGACCCTGGGGAGTCTTGCCAACACCCTCCGCCCAGTGCTGGGCTCCACCACTCCCATCTGACTGGAGTGAATCCAAGTGCCTTCTTGTAGCCCAGAGCCAACACAGGCTGGGCTGGGCTGGGCTGGCCACTGTGGTGCCCTGGCCCTGGCACCCTCAGAATCCTTTCAC